TTTCCGATGTATCTGGGAGAAAAATAACAAAATTCTTGAAAAAAAAGAGAAAAACGATGAAAGCGAAAGAAAAGTTTTTGGAAGTTTGAATTCGCGCGCTTTTACTCACCGGGTGGTCTAGAAAAAACAAGCGAAAAAGCTCGTCCCTAAGGGCTTTCAGCCTATTTTTCGATGCGTTTTTCTCGACGAATGAATTTTTTTGAATTTTTTCTTTATTTTTATTTCATTCTACATGCATTTCTGCACATTTTTAATGTAATAAAAAATTTCACCACACACCACCTTTAGAATGTGAAAATTCGAAAAAGGTTCCAGAACCTTCTAGAAAGTTCCAGAAGCAATTTTCCGAAAATTTTCCTTCATTTTTATGTGAAAATCTACACATTTATTTCAATAAAACTTGTGGTGTTGGGGGCTCATTGAATAATGAATGAATGCTCGGATATTTTCTCATGTCTTGTGAAAATAGAATTATAGGAGAGATTCAGAGAGAAAAGCAGAGAAAAGAAAAACGGCCGGGATTGAATATATACTCATAGAAATAGTGGCTGGAGAGACACATAAAATAGAGCGTATTATAATAGGAAAAGGGCTAAAAAGGGAGGGAAAACGGGAGAATATGGGCATGGAAAAGAGGTAGGAAAGCGGGGAAACAGAAGTAATTGTTGTTGGGAAATTGAGGAAGAAATGGAAGAAGAATCTAGAAGGATTAGAAGGGGAAGAAAGTTTAATTAATTTTGGGAAGGAAATGTCTCAAAATGTTTGAAAATTCCAAAAAATTTAAAAATTTAAAAATTTGTAATTTCCTAAATTTTTAGAATTTTGAAATTTTCCGAATTTTCAGATTTTCCGGAATTCTCAGAATTTATTTTTCTAGAATACAAAAACTGAAATTTTCGAAAATTCTCGAATTCACAACATCTTCAAAATTTTCTTGAAAATGCCGAAAATTTCTAAATTTTTAGAAAATTTAAAAAAAACCAAAAATTAACAAAAAAGAAAAATCTGAAAATTTCATCAAAATCCGGGAATGTTGAATTTTCTTACAAAAAAACCCAAATTGCTGAAAATTCTAAAACTTCTGACATTTCAAATTTTCGAAAAATCCGAAATCCTGAGAATTTTGAAAATTACGAGAATTTCAAAAATTTCGAAAATTCGGAAAGTTTATAAATTTTTTTAAATGCCGAAAAATTCAAAAACTCCAAAATGTCCCGAAATTTTCGAATATTCCGAAAAAATCGCGAAAATTCTCAAAAATCTAAAAAAACTCAAACAATTCGGAAATGTAGAAAACTTCCGAAAATTCCAAAGAAATTCAAAAATTCTGCTACATAATTCAAAATCAACTGTGAAAACCAAAAAAAAAAAATCAATTTCTGACTCATCAGACCTACCATTTTCCAGCCGCCTGTCGTTCGGACTTTTTGCGCTTACAGCACATTTTTTCGAACTTTTAATTGCCTATTTTTAAGCGAAATTTATGATCACTGACAGCCAACAGAGCCGTGCGTTGTGCCAGCTGGTAATTAGATCAAAAGGAAGTTCACGCAATTAAAAAAAATTATAAAAATCTGTCTCCACACAAAACAAAGCCGAAAAATTATCCACAGTATTTAGAAAGAAAACTAGAAATTTTTCCGATTTTTCGTTTTCGAATAACAAAGTGAACAAAGAAACGACACCGGAAGCATGCTGCTTAGTACCTGCGGGGCTTGTTTAGCATTTTTATCGACTTTCGGGCCCTCACTTTCCTCACTGACGCCTTTCTGGTGCCCCTGGCGTCTTTCTTCTTCGTCGCAATTTTTGTTCGTACTCCAAGTGCTTTGTGCCACATGGACTCAATGCAAATAAAGCAGAAAATTGGATTTTTCAGATTTTTTCGAGTTTTTGATGAGTAAATACTTTTATATCGAAATTAGGAGTTGATTTATCCGGAAAAATCGGAAAAATAAAATTTAAAATGTTTAAAAATTGCGAAAATCGGAAAAAAACTTGAATTCAAATTAAAATATACAAAAACTATATATTTTTATAAAAAGTACATTTTTCAATTTTCGTGTCAAAGCCCGAGTTACAAATTCTGTGCATGCGCCTTGAAGATTACTGTAGATATTCAAAAATATTTTTTTCCAGAATTTTCTTTATTTTTCCCCGATTTGCATAGATTTTCACTAGTTTTTCTGATTTTTTAAACAAAGAAATTTGAGAATAATGCAACTTTTCTATCAGAAACTTAAGTAAATGCTGAAAAAACTAAAATTCCACTAAAAATCAAATAGTTAAACTTTCGTGTCAAAACCCGAGTGACAACTTCCTTGCACGCGCCTTGAAGATTACTGTAGAAATTCGAAAACATTTTTTCCAGAATTTTCCCTATTCTCCCCGATTTGCATAGATTTTCACTAGTTTTTCTGATTTTTTAAACATAAAAGTTTTAAAATATTGCATCTCTTTTATCAGAAAACGATCGAAATGCTGAAAAAACTGTAATACAGCTAAAAATCAAAATATTAAATTTTCGTGTCAAGACTCGAGTTACAAATTCTGTGCATGCGCCTTGAAGATTACTGTAGATATTCGAAAATATTTATTTTACCCCAATTTTCGTCGTTCCTTTTCCTATTTTAACCTAATTTTAACCAATTTTTTTGCAGAAAAATGTGGGAATTAGTATCAGCGGAGCTGTTCTCAGCATCGAATCTCTTCCTTTTGGGATTCATGATATCGGCGCTGGCGGTGAGCAGTGTCTTTACGTAAGTTTGTAGTGATTTTTTTCCGGAATTTTTCCCGATTTACATCGAAAAAACGGTGAAAATCGTCTAAAAAAATGTTTTTTCCAGCCTCTCCCACATCACTCCATGGGTTCGAAGGACGCGCGATGAGTATCTAACACCGGAAATCGTGTATCGGAGCTCTCCGGAAAAAGAATTCTCGAAGCTTCTAGAATCCGAAAGAGACGCTCCGAAACGATACACGCCTTCCCGATGCTACTTATCAGTAGTGATTCCAGCTATGAATGAATCTGAAAGAATCGAAATAATGCTTGAAGATTGTTGTGATTATCTCGAGAAGCGCTCCAAAAAAGATCTGGAATTCAGCTATGAAATCATTGTAGTTGATGACGGCTCCACAGATGACACCGCAGATGTAGTCGTCGGAATTTCTCAACGTCGTCAGAATATTCGAGTCTTGAAGTTGAAAGCGAATCGTGGAAAAGGGGGTGCGGTGAAAATGGGAGTTTTGCATTCATCTGGAAAGCTAATTCTATTCGCTGACGCCGATGGAGCCACAAAATTCGAGGATTTCGAAGTTTTGGAGAAAGAAATGCTCAGAGCCGCTGGCGGCGAACCATTCGACGAGTCCTTCCCAGCTGTAGTCGTTGGATCGAGAGCTCATCTGGAGGCGGCGTCTGTAGCGGAAAGATCCTTCTTCCGAACGGTGCTAATGCATGGATTCCATGCTTTGGTTTGGTTGTTCGCTGTGAGAACTGTCAGAGATACGCAGTGTGGATTCAAGCTCTTCTCGAGATCTATCGCTGCTAGAGTGAGTATTTTGGTACCAAAAAATCAGAGTGGATATCCATAAAATTGTCAAAAATGCCAAAAAGACCTGGTGGCCTAGAAAACCCCCAAAACTCGGCCAGTGCTACTTCCAGAAGTTAAAGACTATCTTATAACGCTTAGCGCGCATCAAACTCAGAATTAAAACTGAAAAACTCCAGTTTATAGCAAAAATTTGGGCCAAAAAGACCTGGTGGCCTAGAAATCCCACAAAACTCGGCCAGATCGTATTTTCGGGTGTTCGAGTTAAATAATCGAGTTTTTGGGTGAAAACCCCTGGAAAACACGTTGAAACACCTGATTTTTAGCGAAAAAAAACCCGCGAAAAGCGGGTGGCCTAGAAAACGCCGAAACTCGGCCAGCGCTGTTTCCAGAAGTTTACGACTAGTTTTTAACGTTTATAGCCTTCCAAACTCGGAGTTAGAACCAAAAAACCCCAGTTTGGAGCAAACATTCGGTTCAAAACTGTCAAAAAAGACACCTGGTGGCCTAGAAAATCCCCAAATCTCGGCCAGACCGTTTTTGAACTTTTTTTGCAGCTTTTTTAAAAATTCTATTTTTATGTCTTAAAACCGATTTCGGGCAAGAAACTGGTAAAGGTCCCACAACGACAACTACCGTAACCTGAAAAAACACGCCAGAGATTTGGTGTAGATTTGGTTCAGGTTTCCGAAAATTCTGAAAAACACTCACACTCTGAAAATTGTAAAAATTCTAAAAAATCGGCAACTTCAAAATTTCACAAATTTCGAAAATTCTGAAAAATCTTAAAATTGAAAAACAGCAACATTTTCTGAAATTCGCTGACTGGAACCGTCCATTTCTCGCACAGGAAGATCAGTTCGGTAACTACCGTAATCTGAAAATACCTTATTTTCGCACTTTTATCACAAAAATCAAAGAAACAACGAGGGAATGC